CGAAATGCAGGCGAGAGTGCGATTTGTCCCATGCGCGCGCAACCCTTTGCGGAGATCGTGCGTGTTGAGTGCGCGAAATGCAGGCGAGAGTGCGATTTGTCCGGTGGAGCTGGAAGCTGAGAACTGGCGACCTTGTAGTACAACTGTATTACGTGGAGTATTTGGGGAGCTGGAAGCTGAGAACTGGCGACCTTGTCGTACAACTTTAGTACGCGGAGTATCTGGGGAGCTGGAAGAGAGTCCCACAAGAGTGTCCCGCAACAGTGTCCCACTAGAGTGTCTCAAAAGAGTGTCCCTTAAGAGTGTCCTACAGGAGTATCCCACAAGAGTGTCCTACAAGAGTGTCCCACAAGAGTGTCCCACAAGAGTGTCCTACAAGACTGCCCCACAAGAGTATCCTACAAGAGTGTCCCACAAGGAGTTCCACAAGAGTGTCCCACAGAGTGTCCCACAAGACTGTCCCACAAGAGTGACCCACAAGAGTGTCCTACAAGAGTGTCCTATAAGAGTGTCCCACAAGAGTGTCCCACAAGAGTGTCCCACAAGAGTTTCCCACAAGAGTGTTCTACAAGAGTGTCTCACAAGAGTGTGCCACAAGAGAGTCCCACAAGAGTGTCCCGCAACAGTGTCGCTCAAGAGTGTCTCACAAGAGTGTCCCTTAAGAGTGTCCCTTAAGAGTGTCCGACAAGAGTATCCCACAAGAGTGTCCTACAAGAGTGTCCCACAAGAGTGTCCCACAAGAGTGTCCTAGAAGAGTGTCCCACAAGAGTTTCCTCAGAGTGTCCCACAAGAGTGTCCTGCAAGTGACCCACAAGAGTGTCCCACAAGAGTGTCTCACAAGAGTGTCCCACAAGAGTGTCCTACAAGAGTGTCCCACAAGAGTGTCCTACAAGAGTGTCCCACAAGAGTGTTCCACAAGAGTGTCCTATAAGAGTGTCCCACAAGAGTGTCCCACAGGAGTGTCCTACAAGAGTGTCCCACAGGAGTTTCCTACAAGAGTGACCCACAAGAGTTTCCTACAAGAGTGTCCTACAAGAGTGTCCCAGAAGAGTGTCCCACAAGAGTGTCCTACAAGAGTGCCCCACAAGAGTGTCCCACAAGAGTGTCCTACAAGAGTGTCCCAGAAGAGTGTCCCACAAGAGTGTCTTACAAGAGTGTCCCACAAGAGTGTCGTACAAGACTGTCCCACAACAGTGTCCCACTAGAGCGTCTCACAAGAGTGTCCCTTAAGAGTGTTCTACACGAGTATCCCACAAGAGTGTCCTACAAGAGTGTCCCACAAGAGTGTCCCACAAGAGTGTCCTACAAGAGTGTCCCACAAGAGTGTCCCACAAGAGTGTCCCACAAGAGTGTCCCACAAGAGTGTCCTACAAGAGTGTCCTACAAGAGTGTCCCACAAGAGTTTCCTACAAGAGTGGCCCACAAGAGTGTCCTACAGAGTGTCCCGCAAGAGTGTCCTACAAGAGTGTCCTTTGGACATATTAGTTTTTCGATCGTGTTTGCATTCGGGTTCGTGGGTTCCATCTTGTTTCAGCTCGAAAGCGTCCTTGAACCACACGATCAAAAAGGGCGCCCCCCCGTGCTATGTATTCTGCTTTCTGTGTTCTACCACCTGTCAGCGTGGCTTCCATGTCGACTTCACCCCATACCAAAGCTACTCTTTGCCCGATGTTACTTTGCTGTAACATCGGACCACCATCTACAGGACAAGAATACGAACAGCGTGCAAGCGCCCGTCGATTCCTTAGGGGTGCCCTTTCTCAGCGTGAAAACACCCTTAAGTCGAAGGAAAAACCCACAGTATATCTTGTGCTTCCTATTTGGAGCAGCAGTAGACATCACCGCCATGTCGACTTCCCCCATGACAATACGATCCACTCGTAACAGCACACCAGGTTTATGAGTCCATCTACAAAACACGAGAAACAAACTGCCGACAAGCGCCCCTCGGTGACTTCGGGGTGCCCTTTTTTTCTCTTCAAAACGCCCCTTCATCCAAAAGAAAAAGGGCACCCCACCCCCCCACCTGTTGTCATATCGGCCCCGACTTATGCCTCCCAGCGCTTCCCACGCGGTCTCACGTTCACACCCTCATGACCATATTGATATACATTGATCTCTTCTTGCGGAGGCTGGCTTTCGTCCCTTCCCTTCTCGGGTTATAGATGCTGTTTAACCTTCTCTCGGAGAGCCACTGGTGCGGGTGGTTGTTGTCGCAAAGTGACACGCTTTGAGGCAACTATTTTGTCATGGTTTGAAGTTGAGTGGCGGGTGTTTGTCAGAAAACACAAGTTCACCACAGGCCTTTGTGTTAGGAAAGCTGCAAACTGCGCCGTTGGTTGGAAACCATGTGTCCACGTAGCTGCTGAAGTTCAATGCAAGTTGGTTTGTGGCCTCGAAACTGCGAGCGCGTCGCAATGCATGCCAAAAAAAATCAAACATTAAGACCAGTACTAAGATTGGAAACGTTTGTCGCGAACCCAAGAGAAAGACCAACGAATATGTGCTAAGACTGGTTTCTGAACAAACTGGTCGAGAAGTGAATCCGTTGCGACAAATCACATATGTTCCCCAATTGACGGACGGCTATCCCAAACAGGGGTCGGAACAATTGCCCTATTTTTTACCCATAGGCATGCTTGGGGAAACCTTGCGGACGGACAAACCTTCTATGTATGATGACACGGACAAAGAGCGGACAGCTAGACTATACCAAACAGGGTTGGCACGAGACTATTATAAGCTGTCGAAATGCCGGCCAACAGACGCATCAGCGACCACCGCCAGGAGAAAACTTTGTGGGCAATTTGTATATGAAACTATAGACTATATTGGCATATATGGAATATAGATCAGCCCTTGCAAACACCAGTCACGTCATGTTCATTCATCATTGGCATCATCACCATCATCTTCCTATTTAAAAGACATCACAAGCACACATCCTTACAGCACATCACGCCATCCATCCAATCCGTCCCTCCTCATCCACTATCACTCCTTTGCCGTCCACTTCATGTTCCGGTTTTGATTCAGAGGAAGGTTTGACGTATGAACTTCCTCCCCGCCTTTCAGCCCAGGCAAAGCGATTGCGCAGTGGCAGTCCGGCGGTGGAGGCTTGCGCTTTGGGTTGGGACAAACGGCAATTCGCAAAGTCACACTCAGACAGATGCCCACTGGAGGTTGAGACAATATTCCACAAAGGCTCCTTGCAATTGATGAGGGCCTTGAACAAAGTGCAGCATCCAATTCTTGACCGCTACTCAGGAAAGGCACCTACATTAGAATTGTTAGTACCTCTACCAGGGCTTCTAAATTGCTATCGTTCTCCATTCATTACGAGAGGGCGCTGCTTAACCAAGGTTCTGGATGAGAGGGGTTTGCTAGTCAACTCAGAGGACCCAACTCGAAAATGTGTGCGAATGAATCAATGCACGACGATTTGCACTAAAAGTGCGTTTTTGGGCCCATTCTGTTGAAGGAGTTTGCGGATTTGGTATTTGATCGTTTGGAGGCGCCACTGCATGACAGAGAGGCCAGAGCCAATGCCATGATGCCTGTACCATGTCCAAGGCTGGTGGCGCGCGGCTGTCCTTTGTGATCGGGGGTGCTGACGGGTTGATGTAGCCCTAGCCAGTGCATTTGCTCAACAGTTGCAATAATAAACCAACTGTGCTACATGCTACGCGCTGCCACTGCGTAGGTTGTTCTTTTTTGCGGGGCTATGAGATTTACTGAGGCCAGACGAGCTGCGTTGTTTGCCAAAAGCACATCTTCAAGCGGAGGCGAGAAAAAGGTATGATGTGGTGAGTGGCTGCTGGCGATCGCCTTTGGACAGAGATTGTTGTGAAAGTGCCAGGCGGGCAGGGAGTTGCTGTCCTTGGGGCGGATGACGCGGGAAACCTAGTCTACAGCGGTCAGATGCAGAGAGAGAGAGAGAGATTAAAAGTAAATAAAGGAGGAAGAAAGCGCCAAGCCAAAAGCTTCGTAGGTTTGCCTTTTTGTTTTTGTTCCACGGCGTCGCATAGTATGATGCATGCATGGGTAGGGGTCCGCACCTCCAACAGGCAGTGACAAAACTAACGCATGCACAGGGTTGATGCGCAATCCGTGAGGCGTTTGATCCACCATTGCCACGCTTGTTCCATGTGTGTGCATTCAATCGTTGCATCCCCTAGAATCAGACACTATAAAACGTCAATCTCGTTCCCTTGTAAAATGTCTTCCGACCATGCATTTTATAGGCCCAAACTAGAGGGCCATCATAAAACATCGGTTTTGGAGCAGAGGGTCAACACAATTGGATCATATTTCAGAGGGTCAATACATGTTGTAAAACACCAAGTTCTGAAGCAGACACAAGCGATGGATTGCTTATTTTGCGGCTCAACACGTTTTATAGACAGCGTAGGCTTTCACTTTGTCGATGTGCAAAACACATGAATCTTTTTGTCAGGCTGCTGTTTTGTTTGTGTGGCGCTATTGCGGAGACTGGGTCGAAGCATTCACGGAAGCAACAAACGAAGAACCTGTAAATTCGCAAACCAAGATCCTGACCACGAAGGCAGGTTTTCGGGGTTAAGGTTTCCGAGAGAGTCTCCGAAGAGGGTTTGGGAGAGTGTCAATGCATTATATCATTATACATATATATATATATATGCACGGTAGCCGGAGTTCTCAAGCTGAAGGGATATGGCACGATCGCTCAACGACGGCAATGGCGAATGCGATTGGCTAAAAAGAGCTTTTCGCCCCTCGGTCCCAAATGCTTCATGAAGCTACTCCCGTTGAATGAACCTCAAGAAGGTGTTCTTCTTGCATGCCACCTGATCTCCCCACATCTCCCTGGAGTACAAACAAAGCAACAAAAACAAGCACACACGCAACTAGACGACGGTTGGCCCGAGAGCGAGACATGTAATTGTCCAGCACTGTCGAAAAGATGTATAGGAAGAGAGAAAGAGAGGGTGGATGTGAAGGAGTGACAGTGTGGATGTGGTGCAGGTGCGATATAGATCTGTAGTGGATGTACAGATGTGATATAGATGTGCAGATGTGTGGGCGTGGTGAGGTGGAGAGGTAGATCTGCGGATGTGAGCGTGTGAAGATGTAAATGTAGAGAGGTGAGGGGGTGTAGACGTAGATGCGTCGATGCAACGGCAGCGCAACGTCAACCTTAGTTGCGCAAGTACAACACTGAAGAGGTTCAAACAGAACTGAAGAACGTACATTTCACACTGAAGTTTCCACGAACAGGGCGACCTGAGAGTAAACGACGTCACGATCATGACAAGCGACTCGTGTATTCCAAGCGAACATCGTTTGTCATGAAGGTGAAGTACACGCGGAGTATCTGGGGAGCTGGAAGATGAGAACTGGCGACTTTCTAGTACAACTTTAGTACGCAGAGCAAGCTGTGGAGCTGGAAGATGAGAACTGGCGACTTTCTAGTGCAACTTTAGTACGCGGAGTATCTGGGGAGCTGGAAGATGAGAACTGGCGACTGTGCAGTGCAACTTTAGTACGCGGAGCAAGCTGTGGAGCTGGAAGCTGAGAACTGGCGACTTTGTAGTACAACTTTAGTACGCGGATGAGTCATCTCTCGCGGCTGAGTCATCTCTCGCGCCACCCGGCTCTCTTGAGAGTTTGACAAATTTTAGCTACTTTGCTTACTCATAAGTGGCTGCCACAAGAGAGTCATCGTGACGTTAGTATGTGTACTAAAGTTGCGCTACAAAGTCGCCAGTTCTCAGCTTCCAGCTCCACAGATTGCTCCGCGTACTAAAGTTGTACTACAGAGTCGCCAGTTCTCATCTTCCAGCTCCCCCTCAACGCACGATCCCCACAGAGGGTTGCCCGCGGCCGGGACAAATCGCACTCTCGCCTGCATTTCGCGCACTCGACACGCACGATCCCCGCAGAGGGTTGTCCCGGACCGGGACAAGTCGCACTCTCGCCTGCATTTCGCGCACTCGACGCGCACGATCCCCGCAGAGGGTTGTCCCGGACCGGGGCAAATCGCACTCTCGCCTGCATTTCGCGCGCTCGACACGCACGATCCCCGCAGAGGGTTGCCCGTGACAAAACCAAATCGCACTCTCGCCTGCATTTCGCGCACTCGACACGCACGATCTCCGCAGAGGGTTGCCCGCGACAAAACCAAATCGCACTCTCGCCTGCATTTCGCGCACTCGACACGCACGATCTCCGAAGAGGGTTGCGTTTCGTGGCGGTCCGGCGGCACTGCCCCCGGCCTTAAGAGAGAATGTTAAGAAGAGCGAGCGGTGAAGATGTGAGATGTAGATGTGAGGATGTGAAGATGAGCAGAGATGTAGATGTGCAGATGTGAAGATGAGCAGAGATGTAGATGTGTGAAGATGAAGATGAGCTGAGATGTAGATGTGAGGATGTGAAGATGAGCAGAGATGTAGATGTGCAGATGTGAAGATGAGCAGAGATAGAGGTGAGAACGTGATTGTGCAGAGGTAAAGATGTGAAGATGTAGAGGAGGTGTAGTTCTGCAGATGTTTTTTACGAAGAACCCTTCGCAGGCGCTCTCGGGAAAAACGCAAATCTCTACTGGTCGTGGGTATGTGTGTTCTGTATTGCGGTGTTTTCCAGTGGTGATTGGCCCATAGTTCGGCGTCGTTTTGTCAATGACATGGTTGGGTCTTCCACTATCCGCCAGCATTGATCCATGTCAATGTCGCAATATAGCATGAGTTGCCTCAGTTCTTTGCCCTTAGTCAAGCCGTTGGCTAACTGTGCTTCACTGTGCACCCATCGTATGATGACGTTATTTACGTTTTATGCATCTTTGATACGCATGAGTGTGATATCGACACGGCGTTCAGCTCCCTTTGGACTCAGCACCTCAGTTCGAATTTTGTCGTACACGTTGCGGCTATCTGTGACAAGACAGCCAGGGATCTGATTTACAAGGGAATTGGGCTCCTGCATTCTGAAGGGGGGACCTAGCATCTCACCCATCTGGAACCTACAGAAAAACAGCAAGTCTTCTCCGTGCACTGCTGCCATCGCCTCGCTGGCTCCTGGACTTGAGCAGATGCCGACTACCGGTGAGCAGTTCTTTGGAGGCTGCACCAATGACAACACCTTGGGTGCTGCCACCACCAATCCTGTTCTGGTTGGCTGCGTCCACCCAAGAAACCAAAACTAGCTTGCCCAAATCTATTTTGTGTATTTTCAACTTTTGTTCTTTCATGTTGCGGACTTGGTCGAGCAAACGGTTAGCTCGAAACAATGTGTCCACGGTGATCTGGTTCACTTCTGTCAAAAGGAGACTGACATCAGCAGAAAAATGCGGTGCCACCTGTTGACAATACCAGCTAATGCCACCGAGAAGGCCCCTCAGTTGTGTCTTTTCCAAGTCATCAGTTGGTGTGTTTCGTTATCGCTTTCGTGAAGCTCGAATGTTGATTGCAGGTATGGATTCCGCATAGTGCTTCTGTGACAATGTATGTGATCCATCTTGTTCCTGTTCTATCAACACACCACACTGTACAAAGCGACCTTCCTCCCAGTCGCTCTTGAACTCATCTTTGATGGCCTTTTCGCTTGCCACCCAAACAGGGTCCGTGGCACTGCCTGAGAAAAGGACATCGTCCACGTGCCCAGAAACAATCCCACGCAGCTTCCCTTCCTTCACTAAGGTCCAGCAGCACAGACCACTCCAACATCTAGCTGAATCTGGCATGTCTGCCAAGTCCTGAAACCCTTGTAGGACAGCACGAGCTTTGGCTTTTCGAGTGCCATCATCCTTGACTTTCCAGGTGAGGGTCCACCTCATGTTCACTGCGTCTTCTCTGCGGCATCGCTTGTCAGCTGGAAGGGCTTCAAATGCTTTTGCTGCTAGAAAATTGAACACTTCTGTACCCTTGGCCTGGTCAAACTGAATCTTCTCCTCTGGAGTCATACGGCGCTTTGAGATTTCCACTGCTCTTCTTTTGAGGGCTCCCACGAAAAAGGCGGGGAGATCCTTCAGCGCCCTGTCGGAACCTGCTTTGCTGCTGGGCATCTCAATCTCGATATGGTATACCAGGTTCTGTTCACTGCTGTTGAGGACTTCTGCTTCTGTTTCGTTCTGTCGGTGGTGTGTTTTCTCCCCTGCATCTTTTTCTGGCTCAAAGGTTCGGGCTCTGCCGGAGTGTGTTTTCCAGTAACCCGACATGATGGTTGCCATTCATGTAGGGGATTGCTGGCTCTATGCCACTCAGCTTCACTTGGTTGTTCTTGTAAATCCTCGTAGTCATTCTTGCCTGATTCCTCCGCAATGGGAAAGGGTGTTTCACGAGGGTCATGTAGTTCTGTGAGGATGGTCTCTCGCTCGGAAGCATGTCTCAACTGTTCTGGACAACACTTCAAGAGCCGCCTGCCTCGTACGAGCCACACTGAACTGCCTTGTTGAAGATGGCCTTGTTCATCTCTTGTCTGTTCAACTGCCAAAATTCGAGCTGGGCCAACAAATCGGCCTTGTCCGATTTTGTTTTGTTTTGCATCTTCACCTGTCAGCTGTTTCCGCCAAATAAAACCAAGGTCCCCTGCTGAAAAATCCAAAACTCGACGATGTTTAGAATGAGTTGCACGTTGGATTCGTGCAGCTGCGATCCAGTCTAAAAATGCTTTTTCAGCAGACAGTCGTAGATTTTGGTCTCCTTCCATGGGCAGTTCTCCTGGTGTCTGAAGGTCACGAGCTGGGGTGAAGAACCTGCCATGTTCATCGGGCGCACGGCCCAGGACATACTGAACGGGTGCGAATCCTCTGACACTTTCCCTGTGATTCAAGGTCCGGATGGACTCAGCCAGTATCTCCCCAGAAGTCAGTCATGGTGCTTCCGCCACGAGACTCCCTTTCATTTCAAAGAATGAATCATGCTTTGGAGGGATCCATGGCCAGTGGCCGAATACAGAAAATAAAGTTGGAGGGATTGAGTGCAATGTCCACATGACGTTTGGGGTCCATGATGTTTAACCATTTCGCAAACACAAGCCATCCCCAAACCAAGAGAGTTTTGTCCCACCATTTTTCCTTTCAGGTCCTTGACCCAGTGTTCCTTGCCCCCTCCCCTCAAAATCTCTCGACACGCTCGCAACGCGAACTCATGTGTGTAAAAGGCTGCGCTACGTGTGACACTACCTTCACAACGTGCATGATATGTGCCAGGTGCGCATCGACATGGCAGATGCATACGCAGGGCAAGAGGTTCATGTGTGGTCATCAGTTTCCAGCCCTTTGATATCAACTGTTTCTGTTGGTTCCGCAGGTTCACTTGACAACCTCGAACCACTGCAAAGTAGGGTTGATATCTTTCACCAAATTTTGCAAAACAGGAAGGGGCCATGCCTGACATGATTGAGAAAGCTCCCACACGACATGGACACTACGCTGCACACAGTACTGGTATATGATTGCGCAGCCCATGTATTGCTTCAACACCTGTTTTCTCTTGTGCTCCAGGTCTGAGCGTTGTTCATCAGTCCGTTGATTGATGTTTTGCATCACACTGAATGGTCCACCTTCAGGGGGGAGCCACACGATTTCAGGTGTGCAGCTGTCAATCCGATCTAAAACACCTTTCACGCCCCTACCAGTGGAAATATCAAAATCAATCCAAATAGAAAGTCTTTGGGCTGACACTTCAGTTTTCGTGAGCTCACCAATGGTGCTTGCGAATGCTATCTTCTCCACATGCAACTGCCAGCAATATGACTTGCTCTTGGGCTCCTAGTTCACGAACAGCATATGATAACAAGTTATCTCCGGAGCTAAGGTCTCCGCCTAAAGTGTCTGGAAGTGTGGAGGTGGAGTGCACCTCAAATTGGGCACCCTCAGCCGCGGCATTCACTGACTCTTCGGTTCGGGATTATCTCGAAGCTCTGGTCTTCGGAGGACTCACCTTCTTGCAAGGTAGGTCTGGCTGCCCTGCCTTCAAGACCGTCGAGGTGACTCCTGTCATGTTGCTCGAGGAGGCTCCGGATTGCTTGGAGATCGCTGAGGGTGCGGCCTTGGCTGCATTGGAGGTCTTGATGTAGCCCTTCTCCACCAGCACTTCCTTGGGATTGGAGGCTGGCTTTGAATCTCGATGGACTCGGGCTTTTGAGTCCTCTGGGACTCTTTGATCAGCCACTGTGCCAAGCGAGCCAGCCGAGGACAAGTGGTCATCTACTCGTTGAAGGTGGTGATCACCCATTGTGCATAGTTTGGTTCGCTCATCTTGATCTCCTGGTAGCTGAGAGCCGCGTGGGTGCCGAATCCGACTGGATCCGCTCCCGTAGCCTCGCACTTCGAGCAAGGTTTGGGTTGCCTTTTTCTGAAGGATAGGAATGGTCTCGTGTCCCGACAAGGGAACCTGGAGTTCTTGGCAGAACTTGACCAAGTCGCACTTCTTCCGAGACACAGCATTCAACTGAGTCATCTTGAGCTGCAAAGGTGTCTTGGACTTGGCTCGAGGATTGGCCGTCAGACCCTGAGCTCGCAGTTCCTCCATTCGAAAGAGACACTCGGTGTGACTCCACGACTTGGGAGGTAGCTCTCCCAGGCGGGCAAACTCTTCGATGATCTCGGTCTTGGTCATCGGGGATGTCATGTCGGTCACTGGAGGGATCGATGGAGGTGGTTGGAGCTTGAGCTGTAGAGGGTGTGCTGCTGTGTGGCACTGTGGTTGTGTGCGTTCCTCCGGTTGCTGGTGACTTCGAGATTTGTGTTGATCATCAAACGAACTCACTTTCAAAACATTACCATCAACATCGTCATCATTCACAATTGGGGATTGGTGAGAGATCAGGTCTGCCTCTGTGCCCGCTGAGCTGCAAAGCCCCTTCCTTTCTCCGGCGGGCGTCAAATCAGGAAGGAGCTGTCGCTAGATGTACTGGTCTAGACTTGGCACTGGACTCGTAGCCTTTGTGGCTTGTGAATACCAGTCATCACACAGAGGCAGCAGTTGGTGACCCGTGCAAGAGCGCTCCAAATGAATGACACGAGTAGGGGTCAAGCTTTCGAAATCAAGCAAACCATGTTCAAAGTCAATGGGTGCTCCCAGGGATCTCAAAGTCTCAATCGAAAACAAAATTGGACTGGAACCGCGGTCTAAAGTATGAACATTCAGTTCACCTCCGCGGCCTCCAGCCTGCACATTCAACCATGCCGTCGACATGCACCTGTCACTGGAAGAATTTCCAAAGCCAAAACTTGGCCCTTCTCCCAAGCGGACTCTGGTCCGCCGTACTCCCAGGTTGAGGTCCTGCGCATTTTTAGTCTTGGGAATAAGGTTGTCCCCAAGAGCCATTATTCCAATCATGAGCGCCTCATGAGTCATAGTGATCCCATGACTCTTCTGCATCATGAAAAGACTCCTCATCACCCTCATTCTCCTGTGACTGGGATCCCCCAGACATGCCAATGTGCGACCCTGTTGATCTGACATGCTGCTGTCCACTCCAATCAGCTGAGGCGGCACCTCCGATTCTTGGGCCTGCCCAGCGGCACAGCGACTGGAAACACGATGTAGTGTCTGACATGCCCTAGCATAGGCTTCCCCTTTTCGGGTGATGTAATCGTTCATGGACTCATGTCGCTTCCGACGACACTGCTTGAAGTACTTCCCCAAGTACTCAACTGTGGTTGTCCAAGGTGCTTCCTGAGATGGTCCAACAAACGATGTACCCCCCCTGCCCCCTGCATATGAAATCCAGCCTGGCTTCATAGCCATCACAAAACGACGAGCTGTCCCTGTCAGTTCTGACTGTAGTCGAGGACCACATAGATACCGCTTGTGATGTGCAACACTTCGCTCCCAATGCTGTGCAAGCTCGGAGTATTCCTGAAATGTAGCAGCATTGCCATCCCATATTGGCGCTCCTTCTTTTGTTCTCTCAACTTGTAACAAAACCCCGGTCCACCATGGTTCTGCAACGGCCCTGCAGCGGTCACAGACGTGTCAACTTCTTCTTTCCCTGGATAGTTCAGGCGGCGGAGCCCGCAGGCTCCGCTACCATGCACGGCAGCCGGAGTTCTCAAGCTGAGGGGGTATGGCACGACCGCTCAACGACGGCAATGGCGAATGCGATTGGCTCAAAAAGAGCTTTTCGTCCCTCGGTCCCAAATGCTTCATGAATCTACTCTCGTTGAATGAACCTCAAGAAGGCGTTCTTCTTGCATATGTATATATGTATATAAATGATTTCCTTAGTATTTGGTTGTTTTCGCAGGGGGTCAATACCTATATGCAGCAGGCTCCACCATGCTGAAGTTGGCTTGCAGCGTCTTGACATTTTATAAATCCAGCGGTTTAACATTTTATAGTGAAGTTTAGGTGGCTGTACATTTTATAGCACCTTTTTGCAGCCAGCTTCTCATTCAAGGGGGGTATCTTTGCCTTCGTCCACGCTGCAAATCGCAGATGGTATTTGTAGGAGGCTACAATTTCATTGCGCCCTTTTGTGTTTGTGTTAAGGGTGTTGGCGGGGACATTTTGTTGTTCACCGTTCTTGGATCTCGGTTGAGCAAAGCTTGTTTGTGTTTTTCCCTGGAGGAGCTGGGGCACTTAGCCAAAAAGCCTTGCCAGGCAGAGCAGAAAACAACAGGGGGCGTCCTTCACCTGACGGATTTGTGGCTGCCTGTGACCGCCTTTGTTTTTTGGCTTTCCTCTGGTTACTTTCCTTCAGCCGCCAATTATATAAGTACTCTTGATCTGAAGCTGCGTATTTGCGTCCGTTCGACCTGCTTAGACCTACTTTTGCCAAGGCCAAGCTGGCGCCTGACGTAGTTGATGGTATTGGATATGTAGTGTGAACATGTGTGAAGATAGCATTGCTTGATGCATGGCATTGTTTCCTGCAGCAGCTAGCCCACTGGAAAGTCCTTTGTTTTTTTTGGCGTTGCTTTCGGCTTTCGGTGTGGCATGACGCCAGAGATTCTTGATACCATCCTTTCCTGACACCATCCTGTTTTTGCTTGGCTCAGCATCCCAGCGCTGCTTGCTATTGCGCTTACCGCTCATCAAAGTCCCCTTTGTCAAGATTCTCTTTTCCGCGCGATATGTTTTGTTCACCTTTGTGGCCCCCTCAGCTCCCGCCCCTCATTTGAATGTTGTCGATGCGTTTGCTTGCTTTCCTGTTGTCCTCAGATGTGTTCGGGCTAGTTTGGCGCGTTTAACGTATTCAGCAAGTCAATAGGCTAGCAACTTTGCGTTGGATTTGGAACTGACGCTGGTTGGCAGCTAAGGCTGCCACACAGGCTTCCAGATGAACTGGAGGCCAAAGGGCTGCCTCCTCAGTGTGCTTGGTCAGGTTGGTGCGTGTGGTCTTGGTGGAACAACTCTACCGCGCTCGAGAGATTAGGCGCGGCAAAATGTAGCTTTGCACAGGTCTGCAAAACATGCACTTTCGTTTGTGACTATCCTTGGTGACGACTTTGGTATACACTGAGGATTTTGTTGTGTCCTTTGACGATGCGACTTGCACATGGCTTTCCGGTGTTGTCAGGGCATGCACAGGAGCAACAAAACAACGACAAAAAACAGCAGCAACAACAACACCAGCACCAGCAGCAGCAGCAACAGCAACAACGAAAAAAAATAAAGCACAAGCACGTTTACAGATATGCAGCAGAATATGCTTACTCATCGTGTCTCATCGCCGTCAATGCCTTCGCGTCAACTGTGCAAGCTAGTATCAGCAAGTTCACCGGAACAATTTAATTTCACTTTTGAACGCTCCCTGAGTTGGCCGGAGCTAATTAGCAGTTTTACGCCAAGTCATAGATCCAGGAATAGCAACGATTGGATCATTGCACAAACTTCTTGGCTTCAGGTTCCGCGACGCACTGATTATATCTGATTATTTCATTTGATGGCCCATCTCATTCGTCGCGTGACATTACTTTCGTGCTCGCAACCGCAACCGTTCGCAACCGATGGAATGACCCCTAAGGCAAGGCCCTGCTGTTGGGGGATGCTTTTGGATGAGGTTTCCATGGAAGCCTGAAGTGTTAGCGTAGCAATGTAACATGTTGAAGTGTGGAGGATGATCTTGCTGCGCCATGCCAGTGGGATTTGCTTTTCAGGCCCTTGCCCCGAAGCCGTGTTTTCGTGACAAATTCTTGCTATAAGATTGATTTGGCACAGCGCTCTGTGACCCTCGATATGCAGATTTCGTGGCAGGCACAGCACTTTGTGAAGCTCGAAGTGCAGATTTCGTGGCAGGCAGCATTTGGTGAACCTCGAAGTGTAGATTTCGTGGCAGGCACAGTGCTTGGTGAACCTCGAAGCGCAGATTTCGTGGCAGGCGCAGCACTTGGTGAACCTCGACGGCGCAGTACTTTGTGCTCTCAGATGCTCACTCTTTCACTCACACACACTCCCTCACACACTCACTCTCACTCACACTCGCACTCCCTCACACAATCACTCACTCTCACTCTCCCACTCACACTCACACTCCATCGCAATCACGCCCACTCACTCTCCCTCTCACTCACTCGCACCCACCTTCACTCACACTCACACTCACCCTCACCCTCACTCACTCACTCTCACTCTCACACTCACTCTCACTCTCACAGACTCTCACTCTCACTCACTCCCCCACTCTACACTCCCTCACACTGTCACTCCCCCACTTTCACTCACACTCCCTCACACTCTCACTCTCCCACTTTCACTCACACTCAAATTCCCTCACGCACTCACTCTCAACCACACTTACTCTCGCCCACACTCGCTCTCACTCGCACTCACGCTCACTCTCCCACTCTCCCACTCACACTCACTCACACCCACCTTCACTCTCACTCACTCTCACCCACACTCGCACTCACACTCACTTTCCCACTCTCACTCAGAGGCCGAATACCCCTGGGAGATGTGTGTGGCCTATGCGCGAGCTGTGCGCGAGCAACTAAAAAAAGATGGGCAATTTGATGCAGCAGTCGCCGAGGCCAGGGAAGCTCATTTCCTGGAAAAAAATGGCCCTAGCTACCAACCGGTTGGCAGACCCGGATGTAGCAGGCCCGATGGCAGAGAGCCTAGCGCTGAGGGAGAGCTTTATGGCCAAAGGCCGGGAGAAAGAGCACCTGGCCGCGTTGTTGAGGCAGGCAACTTACCGAGGTTCTGATGTGAGATCGTACCTCGAGGTGGATGGACAGATGCATGAGCAACCTTATCTAGCCATGAGATGGCAATGGCGGACGATCATGTCCTATGCATGGCGCCAGGAAGCCCATATCAATGAGTTGGAGCTCTTGGCAGTAGCCGTCTTTTTGAAGAGGCGGGCACGGACTCGAACCCAGCAGCATCTTCGCTTCTTCCATGCGCTGGACTCCATGGTCTCCAGGGGAGTGTTGGCAAAAGGCAGAAGCAGTTCGCGGAGGCTCAACAAAGTGGCTCGCAGGTGCCGTGCCTATTTGCTAGCCATGGACAACTACATGTTTCCGCTTTGGCCTATCAGCCGATGGAACTTTGCGGATAAGGCCAGCAGAGCCCATGAAGCGTAGCAAGAAGAGCCTGCAGTATGCCCTCTCACTCACGCTCACACTCACACTCACTCACTCACCACCACCGGCACCACGATCCCCACTATCATCACCACCATGGACCCCAACGCGTCTAGATCTCTACTTCCAGACCTCACACTTGGGGTCTCTCGCCGGGGTAATTTTAGTTTATACTATACCATGGTTGTTGAAACCAACAGATCAGCGATTGTCAGCCAGACAACGGTTGTTTGCAGGCGTGGATCCACGTACCATCGCGGCGACCCGTGAAGGCCAAAGTAGTTTGCTCGTTTTAAGCAGGTGCCTGCGATGTGGCTAAAAACAATGGCGCTTAAGGACGGATAAGGAAGCCGTTACAGAAGAAGACTTGGTGATAGGATGTGGTAGGCTGCATTTCGGAGTTGCTTGTCTTGCTCTCGCAATGGAAGCTCACTTGTTTCTTGCTGTGTTTCGTCGACTCCTTTGTGGGGTGCGTTGGGGTTGGATGCCCCGAGTGAGTTGCAAGATTGAATGTGATTGAATTGGGTTTCTATGGTTCTGTTTGCGCGTCCGCTCATGTCTGCAAAACACGAAACACGAAACTTAAAATTGAAGCAGGTACACGGAGCTGTCCATGGCTTCGTTGCGTGTGGTTAGGACAAGAGGGCCACACGCCTCTGCTGTAAAAGTTCGAAAGAACTGGACGACGAGTGGCCCAAAAGCATTTTTCATCACGTAGGAAGTCAGAGTGTGCGTTATCTGTTAAGTGTTCAGTGCGAAGTGTTTATGTCGAGTGAGTTGAGGTAGTGTGTGGGTCTCTGTGTGTGTGTATCTATGTCCGTGTGTATATGAGTCTCTGTATGTGTGTGTAACCCTTGGAATCATAGGGATCCTTTCGGATTGTTTTAGCTTCACAGTTGTTTTCCTTGTGCAGCAGGGGGCTGGAGTGTGCTTCAGATGTCTCCAGCCAACGAAGACGCATCTGTCGCACAGTGATATAGTTCTGGGACGCCAGAACTACGTACCTGCCTTTTTCAACGGAATGGCACGAGGCTAAGCCCAGAACCTCACTTGCTGCAGACTTGAGCGATCGTCGTAATTTCGCCCTGTTCGTCGTCTTCGACCTTACGCTTTTGGCCTCCTTTCCTTTTAAGACCTCCAGGATTCGATGGTCCTTGCTGGTTCTCTTAGGAAATGGAACCCTAGGCCGGCGTGTGGCACCGCTTTCAGTTCAGTACACCTATATCCTAAGTGTGTTTGGCCTCGTGCCAACCCGGGATGAGCCCGCAGAGTGCCTCCCGTGGACCCGTTGAACGGGGGTACGTCGTTATCTCCCCTGCCCGGAGATGTACGTGTCTGCAGCGGACAGTAGCTGGCTCATGCCACCAGAACTCCGATTTTGTCTCATGTTAGGAATTCCTTTACGTGACCGCAGCGGTCTAAGCAGCCAGCCGCTTCGGCAGGGCACAAGGTGACCACAGCGGTCAAAGTATTTTTGAGGTTCATTGGAACCTGTTGGGACTTTAGCCCTTCTCCCCCTTCCCTTCCCCCCTTCTTTCTTTGCTTCCTGGGGTTTTCCTGAATGCAACACTCAGGATCACCCCTCTCTTTCTTTGGTGTGTCCCTGGACGCTTGTTCGTAGCTGGGAACACCTGCCTTTTTTTTTCTCTCCTCTCCCTTTCTCTCCCTCTCTCTTTCTTTCTTTCCTTCTCTCTCTCTCCTTCCTCCCTCCCTCCTTGGGTGTCCCTGGATGCTTTTGTCATAGCTGGGAACCTTCTCCTCTCTTCCTTTGGTGTGTCCTTGGACGCATGCGTCGTAGCTGAGAACACCTTCCTTTCTTTTCTCTCCTCTTTCTCGTCTCTCCCTACCCTCCCTCTTGTCGGCACCTTAGCTTGGGATAGTACTAGGGGCTCCTGGCCTTCCTACTACTGTAGGTGTTAGGTGTTTCTTTGACGCTACTAGAGGTTCCTGGCCTTACCACTACTTGGGGATTCGTCGTTTCACCGAGTCTCACACCACCTGTGGCGCGGAGCTTAAAATCTTGCCTCCCCTCGGGGAGGCGTGCGTGTGTAACCCTTGGAATCATAGGGATCCTTTCGGATTGTTTTAGCTTCACAGTTGTTTTCCTTGTGCAGCAGGGGGCTGGAGTGTGCTTCAGATGTCTCCAGCCAACGAAGACGCATCTGTCGCACAGTGATATAGTTCTGGGACGCCAGAACTACGTACTTGCCTTTTTCAAACGGAATGGCACGAGGCTAAGCCCAGAACCTCACTTGCTGCAGACTTGAGCGATCGTCGTCATTTCGCCCTGTTCGTCGTCTTCGACCTTACGCTTTTGGCCTCCTTTCCTTTTAAGACCTCCAGGATTCGATGGTCCTTACTGGTTCTGGTTCTCTTAGGAAATGGAACCCTAGGCCGGCGTGTGGCACCGCTTTCAGTTCAGTACACCCTATCCTAAGTGTGTAACCCTTGGAATCACAGGGATCCTTTCGGATTTTTTGGTTTTGGTTTTGCTTCCACTTTTACAGCAGGGGGACTGTCTACCCCACAGAAGTGACAGTCCAACGAGGAGGCTTCTGCGGCAGTACTGATATCACTGGAGACGTCCAGTGACGTACCTGCGTTTTACTTGAGGAACTTCATCGTGGGCCCTGCTTGTAACTAGAACAAGAAATCCAGCCTTTGCAGTCACGCATAGGGCTTTGGTTTTTGACTTGCAGATGTGAGCGGACGACGTCATTCTGTCGGTCGATCGTTCGATGGCTCCTTTAGATTAGATGGCCACGCTGAACTTGATGGACCTCCACTTCCTTTTCAGGTTTCCTTACTTTGTACCCTTAGGAATTGATACCCTAGGCCGGCGTGTGGC